CCCCACCTCGCCCTGCCCCGCCCCGCCCCGGCGTGATTTAATGAGCGTTCTCGTTAGTGCCGAGTGAGGAGCACAGCGCCGCCTTTCTGTCCCCTAAATTATTTCACTCACTTTCGGAAGCTATCTGCTTTTATCGTCCGCGTTTCATTTCCAAGTTTTCTCGCGTTTCGGGGGAGTGTACTTTGTGTACTTCGCGTGCTTTGTGTACTTTTTGTGCTTTGTGTACTTTCTGTGCTTCGTGTACTTCGTGTACTTTGTGTACTTCACGTGCTTTGTGTACTTTCTGTGCTTTGTGTGCTGTTTCGTCGAGGACGCTGCGTATTTTTAGCAAGTTGATTGCAAGAGTGACTGAGGTGCACGACTCAGCTGCAGCCAGTGGTCCCGGCACGGTACGGCGCGGCACGGCGCGGCCTCGCCGGCGCGTCGCCTTGTCTCTGCGCTGCTTTTGATCTCGGTCTCGGCTGCAGCGTCGCGGGGCCCGGCGTCGCGTCTGCTTTCACAAATGGATGGGGGATGGTCCAGGTTGGCCCGAGAGCGTCGCCAAAGGCACGGCACAACCCAGGCACATGGTGCAGCGCTGTGGTTGGCGGCCCCGCGGCGCGCCGCCCCGCCCCGCCCCGCGCCGGCCTGCCAGACCGACACGGACGTCAGACAAAAACAACGAGGGCAAAACAGGCGCTGCCTCTCTTTGCTTGCCTTGCTTGCCTTGCTCGCCTCCCTCGGTATTTGATCCCCGTTGGTCCGGACGCAGCGAGGCCGACACGGCTGCCGACACGGCGGCGCACGTGAACGAAAAGGGCGAGGCGGGCATCGCGCTGAAGGACGTCGAGAACGTCAAGGACGTCAAGGACTTGATCTTGGCTGTCTTCTCCATAAAGCTGGCTGCGCCGCGCCGCTGCGCCCCGTCCGCGCCGCGCCACGGGCCGCTGAGTAAACGGCCCTGCTCATTTGAAATTTTGATGAAATGCGGACAGCAGCCACAAAACTCGAGTGGGTGTGGTGGAGTCCTCCTGGCCGCCCCGCCGCGCCCCGCCGCGCCCCGCCACTGTGCGCACACCACCGCGCCTCGCCTCCGGGGCCTCGAGGACGTCCTGCAGCCTCCAGCGGACCTTCGCCGTCCGCCGAACGCGGATTCGCGCGAGACAGGGACGCGGCGACGCGGCGACGCGGGCCACGGCCGCGCGCTCGATCGCCTGCAAGGTGATGTAGTGGGCCAAGTTTCATTACGCTGACGGGGAGGGTGGAGGGGATTACGGCGGCGCCCCCGTCCTGGACATCCTTGATGCGGCGAGCGCTCTGCCAGCTCGGCCGGGGCGGCCAGGGCAGCCAGGGATCAGGGGATATGGCGCCTGTCGCGGCCCGGCCGAGATGATGTGGGTGGAGCGGGGAGGTGTGTGTGTGTGTGTGTGTGTGTGTGTGTGCGATAGAGAGAGAGAGAGCCGGAAGCAGGAAGACGCGGGCGGGGAGAGACAGCGGTACGGAAAGGCGCTGTGGGGGAAGGGCGAGGGCAGGGGGATTCACACTGCCAGATCCCTTCCCCTTTATCTGTCTTCTGCTCTCTCGCCCACCCTTTCCGCTTTTCTCTCTCTCTCCCTTCCCCTCTTCCCCCCTCGCCGTATTTATAGCACACCTGCTTCAATCGATACAGCCCTCAGCGTCCCTGCTCGGCGTGCTCGGCGTGCTCGGCGTGCTCCGCGGCCGCACCGCGCTCCCCCGTGCTCCCGCACTTCCGCACTTCGCACCCCGTCTCTCTCTTAACCTGCAGACCCAATTTCCATTCGCAGCCTCTTTTCCCGGACCCATCTCCATTTTTTTGTTTTTTGCCACCGCCGCTCTGCCCGGCCGGCTAATTCGGCTCGGCGATGACGTAATGAGCGCGCTAACGCACGGTGGGCCGGAAGACCGGTGCATGCGGTCAGAATCCCGGACGCGTTTTGAGCTCCACAGTCGCTAGATGGGACTCGAACCGAAAAAAAAAGAAAGGTTCGTAAAAAAAAATGGCAGGAGAAAATAAAATGTCCGCCTCATCACGCCTCCCTTCACCGCCATCGCCCTCCCTCGGGATCGTTATGACTCGTCTAATAAATTAATTAAGAATTCGTGCTCCAGTTTCTCCGGGAGTGATAATCAGTGATTGCCAAAACTCTGGCGCGCTACTTTTCTCCTGCCCGGCTGCCTGACAGACTGGCTGGCTGGCTGCCTGCCTGCCCGGCTGAAGTTACCGCGCCGATCCGTTCATAAATTCCGGGACGCGCCGCTGCGCGGGCGTCTCTGTGTGACTGGGCGGACTGGGGGCAGTGACGGCCCACCGCCCGCCACTGCGACTGCGGTGCGCCGCCTGGGAAAAGTTTGAGGTAATGCAGCGGGCGCGGTGGTGCGGCGGTCCCTGACCCTGCCACTGCCAGCGACCAGCCCCCCCCCCGCCCCACCACTCGGGCCGGCGTTATCATGCGTTCCTTATCAGGCGCGGTGGCTCGGTTTGATTTCCCCGCCGCGTTAGCGAAAAGTGCATGTCCGGGCCAGCCAGGGCCAGCCAGGGCTGCGGGCCGCCGCATCAGCCTTGAGCTGATTTCAAAGTGCAGCGCGCCGCCCTCGCCGGCCGCCCCTTGCCCCACTTGTTCGAGCTGCGCCGGGGGGCACGCCGCCGTGCCCTGGCCGTCGAGCCACCACGCCGCGCCACCACGCCGCGGTGCGCCCGGCACACGGAAAGGCAGTTTGCAGCCCTCAACTGCTCAGTTACCGTGTTCGTATCGACCCCCCCGCCTTGTATACACACACAGGCGAGCCCCGCCAGGCCGCTCCACAAGTCAGCGCGCTGCCGAGGCGTGCCAGCAGAGCCAGCGGCAGCGAGGCGCAGCGCCGCATGCAGTCGTGCAGCGCAGGTACAGCGAGCTGACAGGCATGGCTGCTCCCTTCCTGTTCCTGCTGGCACACTGGCGGCGTGGCGCGCAGCGGGGAGGGGCCCTGGAGGGGGCCTTCTTGACGTGCCCCAGCAATAAGCGGGGCGCTCATTACGCCAGCCGAGCGAGTGGGACGTCTCTCCCCCTCTCTCTCTCTCGCACTCATGGGGCGTCCCCTCTGGGTGCGAGAGAGACAGAGCGACGAAAACGACTCTCGGAATCAGTCTGCCGGCTACGCGGGGCTACGCTGGGCCAGCCCTTCGCGTGTTCGCCGCAGTGGCCGCCCCGCCGCGTGCGCGTGCCGCCCTCCGGCACACCGCCCTGCAGACTGAGTCGTTTTCGTCGCTCTGTCTCTCTCGCACTCATGAGGCGTCCCCTATCGGTGCGAGAGAGACAGAGCGACTCTCGGAATCAGTCTGCAGCGCGGACTCGACATTGACAGCCCCACTTGGCGTGCGCGGTGCGCCACGTCGGCCCCTCCTGCCGCTCGCTGCGGCGAAGCAAGCGAAGCAAGCGAAGCAGGCAGACCCGGCCTCCGAGACCACGACGACCACGACCGCGCCGACGCACAGCCCCGGAATGTCGGCCACGCAAATGACATTGTCACATTGACAACATTTCCGTGTTGTGCCGCCGCGCCGCCGCGCAGCCTTAATGGCCAGGCAGGCCGGGCGCCAGGAGATGCTGGCCAAAAAGCCCTCCCCCTCCCCCTCTCCCGGCCCGGCACAAAGGACATATCAGTGGGAGGGACCGCGCGCTCTAGCGGAGCTCTGCCACGGCTAATATTTTCAGGCTGGTTCTCACTGCCAGGCGGGGCGTGGCGGCGTGGCGGCGGGGCGGGCGGTGTTGGCGCCGGAATGCGCGGGGGAGGGGGAGGGGGTGGATTCCGCTGCGGCCTTGCTGGCGTTGCTGGCTCGGTCGGATGCTGTGTATGGACGCGCGATCTTTGTGTGCGCGCCCACACCGTCACAGAGCCACAGCGGCCGCGCCGGATTGGACGGGCAGGCGCGTCCCGTCGCGAAGCAGCAGCCATCCTTCAGCTGCCGTGGGTTCGACCCCCGCCACCGCCCCCCGCACCCGCCCGCCGAACGAAACGACTCGTTTTTTGTCATCAGCCTGCCGTTTTTTGTTTTTGTTGTTTTTTTTGCGGGGTAGCCCTGCGTGCGCCGCGCCGTTCAAATCCATCTGTGGAAATGGAACGGGGGCCGATTTCCCTCCGCTTCAAAGGGATTGGGTTGGGACCGGTCCGGGCCGGGCCGACTCATCGCCCGCGGCTTGTTTTGCCCACCACCCGGGCGGGCCAGGGGCGGGCCCCCTTCCCTCAAAGGCCAGCCATCTCTGTCACGCCGCTATCGACCAGTAATGGCCGAGCGAGACGGCAAATGCCTCGGCAAACGCGGCGCCGTGAAAGGAAACTACGCCACTACACGCGCGGGGCGGGGCGGGGCGGGGCGGCTTGAGGCGGCGCTGCGTTAGGCCCCACTGGCCGTCCCGACCGCGGGAATTAGGTTTCCGCTAATGGAATCCTGATTGGTAGGCCTCCCGGACGACTAGCCCGCGCGACTAGCGGCTTTGGGATTTTGGGCCCGGGCCAAAACATTAAGATGTGACACGGTCTCACTCCAGTCTCACTTCCAGAGTTTCCCTCGGGCCGTTTTCGCCTCCCCACCCTTTAATGCGGCACAGGGCGCGGCCAGGCCCAGCGCGCCCCATCGGGGAACGGGCGGGGCGCGTTCTTCAGTTCTGCGAATCCCTCCATCTGCATAGCTCCCTGAGAATGGCATTATTTTTCTTGAAACGCGACCTGTGTGCGATTTCGTGAACAAGATTGCTTCCATATGAACATCAACATCGAGCTGCAAACGAATTTGACGCCGTGTAGTATCAAAGTCATTTTTTTCGGTTTTAATGACATTGGAAAGTCTTGTGAGACAGGTTGTGAATTTAAATTTGACAGAATCACGCAATGTTGCGTTAGTCCTGCCATAACAGGACTTCAAATCGACGGCTGCAAATTCGATTGCTTCGATGCTCCCGAAATGCTGCAAAATGGCGTTATCTTTACTCTAAAGAGAGAAAGAAAGTAAAACTGTGACTTACCTCCATAATTCGGCCTTACTCTTTTGTCGTAACTGACACTGAAAGAATCTAAAATGGCAGAAATGTTGACGTCGCCTAGCATGCTGCCTCCGCCAGTCCTGCGCACAGAGAGAAAATAACCAACAATTAGAAACATAATGCAAGGTCGCACAATGCCGCAATCTGGCGACACAAGTTAAGTCACCGCTCTCCATAATTCAGGCTCGCTTTCCGAATCGCTTTCATCTGGCGCCGGGTTTGACTGATGTGGACTTATTCAAATTGCCCGCCAAGGCCAGCCAGCGCCGCCCAGCGCCGCCGGGCCGCGGCTTTGGGCCCTTTGCGCCCTTTGGGCCCCACAGAGCCGAGCCAAGCCTCGGGCCAAAGCTTATCGCCTTAAATCTCCGTCGCTTGTTTCTGTGTGTGAGATTTGACAGGGAAACATATGACTTGTTTCTTGCACGCAAATTTCTTGTACCCCCAAAGTACCGACCGCCTCCGCGCCACACCAATCTCACACGCACACAAACACACACGTACACACACACACACCGACCCACCAGCCGAAATCTCGGCCCGGATCTTTCATAAGGAACAGTAAAGTGGATTTGACGCGGGTTTTTGGCCCGCTTGTATTTTTTTTTCTGTCCAACGCGCTAAGTTTGGTCGGGGCGCCTTTCCTTCATTCCGCTTTCACCCCACCCCACCCCACCCCACCCCACCCCACCCCACCCCACCCCACCCCACCCCCCCACCCCACCCCACCCCCCACCCCACCCCGCCTCGCCTCGCCTCGCCCAGCTCGGTTTGTACCGTAAATCCCTCCGGGCGCTTTGCCCCAGCTTTGCTCCCCGGCCCCACGGCAGCAGCAGGTCGTCCGGGTGCATCCAGCATCCAGCGAGAGCGAGAGAGACGGCCGCCGCGCCGACACTTGCCCTTTAGACGCTGCAGCAGCAGCCTGCCTGCCAGCAAGGTGTGGAGTCTGACAAGGCAGGGGCCGCCGCGCAGCGTGCAGCTCAACAGGGAAGCCAAGCCATCAAGCCCCGCTGCCGCCGCCGCTGCTGCCCGGAGCGAGGGCGCAGGGCCCGCAGAGGCCAGCGAGGCGATGACGTCATGGCCGCCGAATTATTAAGCAACTCGCCACGTAGTCTCCTTTTTACCATCGCCCTGTAACGACCCCAATGAGGCGCGTTTTATTAGGCAGACGTGTTGGCCGGCTGCTCGGTCTGCCCGGCATGATTAAAGCGAGGCGGCCGCGTTATTGGGTTACTCGCGCGTTATCGCGAGCAGGCAGGGCGTGGCATGGCAGGGCAGGGCGTGGCACGGCAGGGCACAAAGGCAAAGGCTCGAGGCGCCACTGCGCTTCTCCCTCCTCGTTGCCCCCGCATTACGCACGATGATTGCCCCTAGGCCTGTGCCTCTCTCTCGCACTCATGGCAGAGACCTGGCAGGTAATTCACCCGCAACCTTTGACGCCCACATGCCGCCTCGGCCGCCTCGCGACCTTATCTCCAGACAAAGGGCCGGGTAAGGTCAGTGCATGCGAAATGGCACACACGACGCGGTACAGTCGCGGCCGAAAGGCAGTGCATGCGAAATGGCACACACGACGCGGCACAGTCGCGGCCAAAAGTTATCGGCGGCCTGTGTCGCGTGTAAAGCGGCGCGCCGCTTTGATATAGGGCGGCCAGTCACGCATTAGAAGGAGAGAGAACAAAGATGCTGAGTCAAGCGGGGCCAAGAGGGAGGAGGAGCTAAGCGGGCACAAGTAAGTGGGAGAGAGAGAAAGAGAGAGGGGCAGCGTTGTGTGGAGACAAAGAGCTGGCCACAATGGAACAATGGCGGTGTATGCGGCTACAGGCTGCAGGGCGAGTGCTGGGCGCGCGGCTCACCCCGTTGCCCCCCCCTCCCCTCCTTTCTGCCCGCGGCGGCGAGACGCGGAGGCGCGGACACCAAGCACGACCCGCAAATTAGGTCGCCAGGGCCGCCGAATGCACTGGCGAAATGAAAACTTGAAGACGCGGTGACAATGAGACGGTGCAGCGCCAACTCCGAGCCGGCAAATCGTGCTCCATTGACGGGGACCTAGTCTTCGATGCTTTCTGATGCCCTTTTAACGGAGTGTGATTTTCCGCCTTCGGTCGGGAGCAGTCTCGCCGCAAAAATGATCAAAACGGTGACGAGTCAAACGTGCCGAAACTGGAAACTTCACCGCCGTGGCATCAGCCGGGCTCGAACCTCTGATCCTCTCTGCGTCACGGCAGCGGCATGACACCTCGCCTCGCGGCCTCGCGGCCTCGCCACCGCAGAGCGGATTGGGCGGATGGATCGATGGCTCTCAAAAAATAATGGTCTCCGGGGATATCCGTGATCAGCCACGCCATCATCCCTGTTCGCTCTCCCCGCACTCCCTGCCCGGCCCGCTCTCCCGGATGATGGATCGCTGGGTTTGTTTTCCTCGGCCGTCTTGAGCGCCGCGGCCTCATCGCGCAGCCTTCATCGCGAAGGCTACCCCGAAGCCTCCATCGGGAAGCCTCCATCGCGGAGCCTTCATCGCGAAGGCCCCTTTCGAAGCCTCCATCGCGAAGCCTCCTCCATCGAGAAGCCCCCATCGCGAACCTCACGATGAAGCCGATATCGTGGAACCTCACGGCGGTTCCGCACCGCAAGGCCTCACCGCAAGGCCTCACCGCAAAGTCTCGCCGCGAAGCATTACCGGGCAGCATTAACACGAAGCCTCGCCGCCAAGCATTACTGCGAAGCCTCACCGCAAACCCCGCCGCCGAGCCGTGGCCCCAGCGTGGCGGCAGCACGGCGGCGGCCCCAGCCCCGCGCGCTGCATCCTTATTACAGACGATATAACGGTGTCTGCCGTGTCGGCCCCTTTCTCCTTGCTTGCCGTAGCGTGGCGCCGCGGCAGCGTGGCCGGAGGCAGCAGCGCCCGACATCCCCCCCCCCCCCCCCCGGCCCGGCGAGCGAGCTTCACAGGGCAAGTCAATGGGTATGTTGACTGCCACCGGAGATAGAGTGCCTCCACGTTTCCGAGCTGGCCTTTCTGCACCCCCGGGGCACCGCGGGGCGGGCCAGGCGGGCCAGGGCGCCGCGCTGCTGCCAGGCCACTGCGGCCCTCTCCCCGAAGCCTTTGTTTGGAGGCGGGGCGGGCAGGGCGACTGGCTGCCGTGGTTTCCTCGTCGTATCGCGGCGTAACACTATTGGCCCACATCCACACCTGCGCGGCCTGCGCGGCCTGTCCGCGGCGCCGCGGCCCTTCCGACAGCAGCGCGGTATAAACGCCGCCAGCACGTTACTCGCAGTCACGGAGGCCGCGGATGGCGGCCGAGATGGAGCGAGGCGCCGCGCCGCTGCAGCGAGCTCTCACCCAGATGAACTCGCCCCGACCCGACCCGCCCCGGCCGCCGCTCTGGTAGGTGTGCAAAGGCTGCCTGACTGCCGAGGCCGAGAGGAAAAAATGGAGGCTTTTTCCTGTCCGGGCATGCCGGGCCGTGCTGCGCGTGCGATGTATACGGAATGTGCGGAGTCGCACAGTGGGCCAGAAGACCAGCGCAGGCGGCCCAAACTCTGGGCGTGTTTTGACCTCCAGAGTGGCTAAATGTGACTCGAACCGAACGTGCGACCCCACCAATGGATTCCTCGTTTGGAGAGCAATCCATTGGTAGGGTCACACGTCCGGTTCGAGTCTCATTTAGCGGCCCTGGAGCTCAAAACGCGTGTAGAGTTTCGGGCCGCCGGGCGCCGGGCCGGCCCACTGTGTACGGAGTACGAGCGAGTGCGAGCAGCACCGTGCAGCGCCGTGCCAGCGTACGTGCGGTGCTCATTATTCGGGCCGCTCTGCTCATCAACTCTCGCCTCCGTTTGCTCGCTTACTTTTCATCACTGCCATCAGCACGTTGCGGGGCCCCCCGGCGGCCTGGCGGGGCGGGCGGGCGGGGGGCGGGCGGGGCGGGCGGGGCCGCCAGCGCAGAGGAAGCGTCTCGTCCGCTGAATGCATGTTCAATTATTCACCGGCTCAGCCCTCCACGCTCCTTGCTTCTTCCTGTTTCGTATTCGCATTCATACTGTGTGCCGTACCGCGCCCCGCCGTACCGCGCCGCGCCACGCCACGCCCCGCCCCGCCCCGCCGCCGCCCGCACGCTGCAAATGCCATCCTCATCTGGCTTGCTACTCGTACGGCAAATATTAATGGCGTTTATTAATCCACCCCAGCCGCCTGCGCCCGCCCCGCCCCGCCCCGCCCCACCCCGTGTCAGTGTGTCGGGTGACAAATGAACCCCCATGAGGCCGCGCTGGTACATACACCGGTCGGTCGTCGCTTTCCAAAAATAAGTGTGTTAGTACCGTTCCGTTCCGAATATGACCGGCCGCTCGCCAATTCGCTCTATCCGTCCGGCCAACACGGCGCTTCGGTCAGGCTCATAATATCCATCCACCGCCCGCTTATTGCGGTAATCAACTCAATTCGGCGCAGCAACGCGCGCGAACACAGATACACGCGGTCTCTCTCACCCACACAAACACCGCTCACGTATGCGTTGCTAGCGGAGGTCGAAGTGGGACAAAACCCGCGGGCCCTGCCATGGCCCTGCCATGGCCAAGCGCTGCCCGGACTGGCCGGCTGGCCGCGCTCTGCGCTCGCACAGATAAAACTTCCATAAGCCCCGTTGCACCAACCAACCAAGCCACCAACCGCGAGCCGCACGCCGCGGCGTCCTGTCCCGTGGGGCCGGCATGCCCGGGCCGTGGCCGGGCCGTGACCAGGCCATGGCAAGCCGGGGACAAGCCGCCACGCCATTGCACCTGGCCACGTCACGTCCGCGACCGGGGCGGGGGGCGGGGCGGGGCGGGGCGGGGCGGGGCGGGGCGGGGGGTGCCTGTAAACTAGCAGCTGTAAAAGCGCACGGCGCAGCGACGCGCCCAGGGGCTGCACATAAAGCATGCGCGGTCCCACACGTCGCCTATTTAACGAGTGTCTCACGTCGAACATGACCGCCTTTTTCCAGTTTTTCTTGTTATTTTTGTGTTTTTTCCTCCTCGTGACAGCAGCACGTCGTTGGTCCGGGAGCAGCGAGGCATGCAGCGGGGCGCGTGAGAAGGCGGCAGG